AGTCCCAGGGGGTAGTTGAAAAAACACTAGTCGAAGAATCCCGAACAGCACAACCGCGCTTTCTCTAAATGAATACGAAAAAACCCAAGCAGCGCGATGGCGCTTGTTTTATTTTATGTCGAGAAATACCAAGCGGCGCGATAGCGCTTTTATAAAATACATCTGTATTATTACATATACGTACTGTAAATTTATAAATATTTCAAATTTTGTTCGATAAAAATTATTGAGGAGATAACAATGAATAAAATTTTATTTTGTAATGTATTATTGCATTATTATAGTATTATTCTACCTATTGTAAAATGTACTATTTACATTAAAAGGAGCTGTGTGATGTACTTGCGTCAGTAAATCTGACCGCGCGACTTCGACAATCCACACCATCAGTTGTCCACAATGCTCGAAATGTGTTTGGGTTTTCTCGACATAAAATCTCAACAGCGCGATCGCGCTGCATCCATCGAGCTGCTTGGAACTCAAAAGGCGTTTTAAACGCATTTTTGCCGAGGGGTTGCCCGGGGTTGCAACTGAAATGTCGGAGGCTCGTAAGTTCTAGGTCTGAAAATTTTAATATGGCAACCTATGTGTGAACGACCAGTTAGGGCGGTATTCTTTGACTTGTTCTTGACTTTCAGCACTTGTTCAGCCCAAAATCGTCTTAAGATTACATTTCAATCAATAAGTAACTGTACAAGTTTATTTAAGATGATCTTAAACATAAGAACGAATTATGTCTAATATCAATCTTAGTGTCATGCCTGAAGAGGCATTGTGCTGTTAGAAAAAAATTAGAAAACTAAAATAATTATAATAAACTTAATAGCATTTAATTCCGTTACGTTAATAAATTTTGTTAAATAAAAGAAGTCTTCTTGCTTTCAATGCAAAAGACGAAAGTATAAGTGAAATTACGTTCTTTTTTTGCTTAATTTTCCAGATGGCAGATTTCTGCTCGGATCAAAGATTTCGAACATCCATAGTGATACATCAAACAAGAAAATTGACTTGCGAGTTCATTGTCAAATCCCATAAATAATATCGGTTCCTTGCTATCATTTTTATTTAAGTTGGTTTAGTTAAGTTGGTTTACTAAAAATATTAATTAAATTTTAATTTCTGCTCTTCTAAAGAGTATTATAAAATAAGAGTATTCTAAGAGTATTAAAAGAGTGACCGCAAGAATCGTCCTGTTTGATCATCCTCGATTTGAATTTGGTAAACAATAGAAACAATAGTTCATGATAAGACATTAACCCTCTAAAAGTTTGGAGTTGAGCATACTTTTAATTCCTGAGATGTGAGATCTCAAAGTTGCACTTCCTACACTATCATACACTATCCACCTTATGGTATATAAGATATCACATGAATCCAATGCCCATTCAGATTGATCTTTTTCAAACGTTTAGAATCGAATTCATGTTCACTTTCGAGGTGACCAAAGTGACAGCCGAGTCTTGCGGTGTTTGTGGTCACTCGGCAGTTCCGTTTGCCTTTCGCCATGCACACCACAGATATACGTAAGCGAGAGAGATAGAAGGTCTAGACATCTTGGACTGTAGCGCCATTGGGATGGATGATCCTTCTTGATTCTCTCTACTATATTTATTGCCATATGTATTATTTGAAGGAACTGTACGGTGTATTCTATATAATGTGTACTTAATGTGCGCCTTTTCTTTAATACTCGACTTTCACGCAGTATATCTAAATTTATTTATTTCAATAAGTGGCATACAGTTTTTCAAAGGAATTCATATCGGCCATTGATATATAAATCGACGTGTTTGTAATCGAAGGTAAGTTATGCAAGGGAAATGCAATGCAAATGCAAATTACCAAACGAATGTTCGGAATTGTATCGAATTATACAAATCCCAATCGAATTTGCTTTTACATGCTAAGTGTTTTACGAAAAGAAATTTTAATTAACTTACCTTCATCAAAGTTACAGGAATATCACAAGATAGGATGTGTCGGACGTTAAAATTAATTTGTTTGAAATAAGATATAATTTTCAAGCAAGATTCTGTAAGATTGTCAAGGCTAAGTCAAGAATCAAATAGAAGCAGAGACTTGCGATGACTTTGAACCGATGAAAAATTTTTCAGTAGGATCGTCGATAAGGATTCCAAAGGTATAGTAATCCCAAACAAGAAGCTTGGCTTTTGCCTGAGCACTTCGTTTCAGGAAATATATT